CAGTTAAATAATAATTATTGTATTCTAAACGTTTTTCCTTCCGAAGAAAAGAAAAGTGTATTGGAAGGAGTTTGTTTTCTTTTTCTTCTTCTTATGTGTTGTGTATTAAAACATAGCAAATCATGAAACTAAAACTTTATGCCAGGTATTGTTTTACATACATATTTCCCCTTTCCTAAGTGAAAGGAGTTACTACTATCTAGATTTTATAGATGAGTAAACTGAGACTCACAGGACAGCCTTACTCTAAAGTCTGTGCTTTGTACTACTGAATTCCTCTCTCCCTAATTTTCATGTAATTTTAAAACATGAAACAGCTTATGTTTTACATAACATTACCAATCTTATTTAAAAAGAAAATGAACTTAAATGTCCAAAGAATCTGAATTGTTTATTAATTCAGTATTCCACAAGCATGACTATATTCTGATAATAGGAACATGTACTTCGTAAAGAAGCCACTTTCTCTAATTTTCAACATAATTCAAGAAATACTAAAACTCTCATTATAAACCTCGTTATCAAATAATAAATCATACGTCACATGAAATTCTATTTTGGAAGATACTGCTAACTCAACAGTATCAGGATGGGAGAGCTAATCATATAAGAAATACTGAAATAAGGAGGGAAAGCCATTTTAATGTTTAATGATAAGCCCATCCACGTAAAAGTTGTCATTTGAAGAATACACAGTTCTTACTAGGAGGGCAAAAATTTATGCATTAATTAATAATTAATTCTTTCTACTATGTTGGTAACCCACTAAGTATCTCCCTCCAGGCTTCTCTCAGTGAGTTCCTTAATTATTGATGTATTCTGGAAAGAGAGATCATTTCTGAAGGGAATGTATGTGTATGCATGTGTGTGTGTGCGCCTGTGTTTGTAATCTCTTAAGAGATAGTGATGTGTAAGAGAATGTGAGGGAGAGGACAGGGTCAAGGAACCAAACAATACCAAAGCATCAATCTCTAATCAGTGCGCGCACACACACACACACACACACACACACAAAATGGAGCAGAGAGAAGTGAAGATATTAGTAGGTGTGAAACTACAGCAATTTCTCTTCCCAAAGTGAGTTTGGCCAGGCTATCCTTAGACCTAGACAGAGGAAGGACTGCCTGTGGGGTATGTTTACAGACACCAAATATGGAGCCCAAATATCTCTGCCACTGGACAGTTAACTTGATATTGTTACAATACTCAATTATTCTTTTTCTTGCCTCGGTTCTTTCCCCTTTCCCATCAGGTGTTTTACCCACGTTTATCCCTCTTCTTCACCTCTACCCTCCTCGTCCCTTCTTCCCTCTCAGAGGAGACCATGCTCCTACTTCACGGAGAACAAGCAGACTATCTTACATGAGCCTCCTGACTTCCAGCCTCTAGACTTCCCCACTTCCTAAGAGCTCCCTGACTCTCTGCACTACACAGGAATTATCAATAATCCTTGGAGCAATTTTTGATTCTGCTGTTGCTCACTTCTCACATCTAGACTTGAATATTCCTCCAAAATAAATGAGAATTCATCTGTTTCTTTCTATCTCTACCACTATTACCCTCATACAAATCGTTATCATTTCTTGACTGAGCTATGATGTAAGCCCCCAAATCAGTCTTTTTGCTTCCATTCTTGTCTTCTATTATTCATTCTGTCACCCAATGGCCACAGAGATCTTTTTCAAACATAAGTCACTCCCCTGCTGAAAACTCTTCTCATCCCAGTGGCACATCTATGGTATCGCACCAGCCCTGGGCATATGGCGCCACTGAGCAGTTTCTATTAACCCAGTACGGCCCAACATCTTTCCTCGAGCACGGTAATGTGTTAATTAAAAGATTAACGAGCTTGACTTGTAATTTTGAGCTGATATTATGGTAAAGTTATCTAAAAGAGGAGTGTCAGATGTTTCAATAGGGCACAATTTCAGTGCTTGCCATAGGCGCCATTTTCCCTAGATAAGCCGCTGTCCGTACCGGGTTTATAGAAACTGCTCAGTAGTGCTACACGCCCTGGGCTGGTGCAATACCTGCCATACCTGCCATGCCCTAGTTATGCCTCTGCATCTCCCTTTAATTAAAAACCAACTCCTTTCTCCAGTCTGCTTTCAAAGCTCAACAATATGTGGTTTCCTCTATTTTCTATTTCTCCACCTCCCTTATCCAGTTTGTTCATTATTTCTGTTCTGTGATGTCCTGATCTTAGGACTTCTGCATCAGCTCTTCCTTCCATCTGGAATGCTCTTTGCCCAGATGCTAGCTGACACCATGTCTTTTGTATCTCAGCTTAAACATCACATCCTCAGAAAGACCTTTGCTAGCCTAATCTGTGGCCAGTACTTGATATCACAATGCCCTCTCTAATCCTCAATACACCACAATCCAATATTTTCTTTATTTATGTATTAGCAGTGTACATTTACAAGAATATAGGCAGCATAAGGGTCAGTATCTTGCATCCTTGGTTCCTCCAGAACAGGCTTTGCACGTAGTAAGAGGTCAATAAACACTCGTTGATGAATGATCATCTGTTTACCTGTTTTGTATTTTCTATTTTGCTATGAGCACCTTGAGGGCAGGAATGGTGCTTTCATTTCTAATTCATAATGAAGGAATGAAATGCTTTGTTCTCACGTTTCCTCTATTAAAATGTGAATTCCTTGAAAGCAAGAATTATGCATTATCCATCTGAATATCACCAGCAACAAGGCCAGTGCAAGGAACATAACATTTCGTAATATGTTTTGTCACTTAGTTGAGACTGGTGCTCCTCAGAGTGTGGTCTGCTAATCAGTGCTGTTCCACTGATCAGTGCCAGTCTACCAACAAGTCAGCAATGAGATAAACATAGAAACTCAATCTCAATTAGGTCATATAACAAGCAAGAAACAAGCTCATTTGTCACATTAAAAATACTAAATACAGTTATATATGGTGTTTGTTCAAAATGAGCATGCAGACGTTTAATATGGGACATCAATATTTTACTTACATCTTTTAGTTTAGTTACGATTCCAAAAAGACGAAAACACTTATGAGTTAAATAACGATACTCTATTTTAATCACATATACACACAAGTCCATCATTCTAGCTGCTGAATACTAAAACCCTAGAGTCATCCATGACTCCTCTTTCTTTCAAACGCACAACAAATCCATCAGGAAATTCTGTGGGTTCCAACTTCAGAATGGATCCTAGAATCTCACAACTCTACTGTCACCACCCTGGTTCTGCTTGGATGACCACATTGGCATTCATACTGAACTTCCTACTTCTACGTTTGCCCCATGTCTTAGTTATCTAGTGCTGCCACAACAGAAATACCACAAGTGGATAGCTTCAACAGAAGAAATTTATTTTCTCACAGTCTAGGAGGCTAGAAGTTCAAATTTAGGGCATTATCTCAAAAGGAAAGCTTTCTCTCTCTGTCAGCTCTGGAAGAAGGTCCTTCTCATCCATCTCCCCCTGGACTAGGAGCTTCTCCGTGCAGAAAGCCTGGGTCCAAAGGACGCGTTCTGCTCCTGATGCTGCTTTCTTCGTGGTATGATGTCCCCCTGTCTCTCTGCTCACTTCTCTCTTTTATATCTCAAAAGAGATTGGCTCAAGACACGGTCCAATCTTGTAGATTGAGTCCTGCCTCATCAAAATAACTGCTGCCTATCCCACCTCATTAACATCACAGAGGTAGGATTTACAACACATAGGAGAATCACATCAGACGATAAAATGGTGGACAATCACACAATACTGGGAATCATGGCCTAGTCAAATTGATACACATATTTTTTGGGGACAGAATTCAACCATGACACCCCATAACAATCTATTCTCAACACAGTAGCCATGATGATCTTTTTACAAAATAAGTCAGATTACACCATTCTTCTGCAGAAAACCTTCCGATGGCTTCCATTTCACTCAGAGAAGAGCCAAAGTCCTTATAATGGCCTGCAAGGCCCTACATGATCTAGGACTCCAGTATCTCCTTCATCTCACTCTCTAATTACTCTCCCTCACACTCCATGCCACTGTAGCTACACTAGCCAAGAATACACTAACTTCAGAACTTTGTCCTTTAGTTCTATTTGCCTGGAATGTTCTTCAGCCTGCCTAATCTCTTCACCTCCTTATAAGCCTTTTCTCAAATATAATTTTTCTCATTGAGGCTTTCCATGATCGTTCTACTTAGAATTGCAGCCCCCTGACTCCTAGCACCACCCTCATCTTTCCTGATTCCCCACTTTTTAATTTATTGTATAGCAACTTTCACCCTCTAAACTACTCTATAATTTACTTGTTTATTATGTTTATCGGCTAATGTCTGCTACTGCCACTAGAATGTAAGCTCCACAAGGACAAGGATCTTTTTTGTTTTATATTTTTATGTTTTTATTAATAGATTCTAAGCTTCTAGAGTATTGCCTACCACATAACATAAGCCCAGTAATTATTTACTAAATCGATATCCACAAAATATAATCTCCTAAAGGCTGGATTATTAAAGAGATAATTAACTTTCAAAGTCAAGTCTGGACACAGGTCCATGTTCTTACCACCACACTTTCTGCCTCCCAATACTAAACTTATTTTCATTTGTTCCACTGTTTCACTCATGTCAAATAGCTGTTGCAAGGTTATCACATAAACTAGCATTTAACAAGTACACTTATTCGGCCAGAGATTAAGACAAATGACAAGGATTAGCAACTTCAGCTCAGAAGTTTCCAGTAGTAAACTTAGATCACTTAGCAGAGTTTCCTTAAATAATAATTCCTCTGTGTAGGTCAAGTGACCAAACTGGACTCTCTTTGGACCCTGGACAATCCAGGACATGAGTCCAGATACGAAATATCATTTTCCCTAATGTCATAACTACCAACACTTCAACACACCTTTGCCACTTGACATCCTGTGAAAAGAATTCATCGTGATAGTCTGAAGATCTTGTTTCCTCCAGATAAAGAGAGAGACATTGCTGGGAGAAAGAACTCTACTCACCAGGATGAAGACAGTAAAGAATATGACCACAATTGCAGCCGTAATGAACAGCTTCTTCCGGGGAAACACAGCAGCAGGAAGGAGAAACACTAATGCAAAACAGATGGCACCTCGGAGTCCTCCATAGGCAATGATGAACTGATCCTTAAAGGTCAGGGGAATTGTACGGAACCAGTTAATGACCTGAGTCAGGACAAAGACACCTGAGAAGAGAGACAAAACCCAAAGAAAATCAGCTGTGTGAGGCTAGGAGATGAAAACACACAGAATGAGTTTCATGCTTCTGTAACAGTGTCAAATATTTTAAGAGCCAATTATTATTTTCTTCTTTGAATTTTTTGTTGCTACCATGTATTTCCATTAATGGAAGCATGCTGAATCATTAAGTGTTACTGAATTTTTGGTAGGTAGTATGAATTTTTTTTCTTGCTCCCCGCCCCCCCCGCCCCCGACAAGCCTACCCTTAGAGCCCAGAGGGACATACGTTGTCCCACTAATTCTACCCCACAGATACTCCCCACAAGTCCACTGGAACATACATGTCCCAAAAATTGTTTTCAAAATTTCTATTTTTCCTACCAAAAATGCACACACCTCATACAACTCCCTGTGGAAACAGTAATTTGAGGCACATGCCTGTTTTTTCGGTTTCAAACAGTCAAAAAGGCCCCTGCCTTGTGGCAGCATGCACTGTCAGTGTGAAAGCACCTTCCAATGAAACTGAGAGGCAGAAAATGTTGGTGGGCAACCGTATATCCCACCCATTATGAAAAGGTTTAAGAATGGGCCTCCATGATCTTTCCCTTTTCCTCTATACCATTAGTACTACTAGGTTCTTGGTTCTCTGCTATTGTTGTTTCAGGATAATGGGTGAAAATGTGGAATCAGAGAAACTGTTGGTGGTACTGGTTGTCATCAAGTCAATTCTGACTCATAGCAATCTCATGTGGCAGAGTACAGCTGCCCCATAAGCTTATCTTGGCTGTAATCTTTATGGAAGCAGATTGCCAGGTCTTTCTCCCACAGAGCTGCTGGGTGGGTTCAAACCACCAACCTTTCTGTTAGCAGCTGAGTGCTTAACCATTGCACCACCAGGGTTTCTTTCAGAGAAGCTAAGTGAGGCTAATTTGATTGATAACAAAGGCATGAAGATACTCAGGGAAGAAAAGATTATATCAGGAAGGGAGGAAGAGGAACAGAAGCACCAGCAGTAGCAACTACAGAAAAGAAATGACAAGAAGAAGTAAACCCCACTGTTTTAGTAAATTTGCTGAATGTTTTTTTAGTAAACAAGTGCTAGTTACCCAATGCTCGCCAGATCAGACAGAAGGCCAGGGTGAAGCAGACAAAGGCCCAGTTCCACTCGTGGTTCTTTCCAACAGTGGACACACCCATGAAGATGAAGATCAGGGTCTCGCTGACACTGCTTAGCATCTTCATGAAATACTTGATAGTCGTGTATGATTTTTGAGACACATTTTCTTCCACATACTTATTCATAGTCATTGCACAAGCTGTGATTCTGAAAGAGAAGACACAGCGTCTATTTCAGCATATAACAAGGATCCTCATCAGAATGCAAGAGTCAGCACTTACAAGATAAACTGTGGCTCGACCCTTCTTCCCATGACTACAACATTATTGACTTATTTTTATAAGTATGTGTGGTTTTCATGTAAACTTCAGGTAACCTACTTTCTCTGGAGAACTTCATCAATATCCATAGCTTGGACTACCTGGCTTCACACAGCTTTCAAATCCCACAGCCCTCCTTCCTCCTAATCTGTATTCTCAAGTGTCTATGGACATCGGCACCCTCAGCTATCCTATCAATCAGCATCTCAAATCAAACAGGTTCTAAATAAATTCAAAATGGATTATCTTCCTATAAAACCAATTTCTTCTCCTATACATCCTCCGTCCCTCCACTGACTAAAATCTGAAACTTGAAACTAGGGTCACATTGGACTTCTCTCCTCTGCCATACCCACTCTGTGTTCCCCACCCCCTTCCCCCTAATTGGCTGCCAGGATTCCTCATCCTGCATATCTTTTGAATCCACTTCCTCCTTTCCATCCTAATGCTTTAGTTCCAGGTCTCATCTCTATTTATCTGCTATTTCCACTTTTGGGAAATTTAAAATATATTAATAGGCTCTGAGAATTCTTAAATGAAAGAAACTTATTTTCCTTGTTTTCCACAACATTTCCAAACCATTGGAACCACGGAGCCCTTATTTCCACGTAATTTCTAAGGGTACCTTTGCACACTCTGGAAAATGAAGGGCTCTAGGATCAAGTCCAAACTCCTAAGCTGGTCTCCAAGGCTCTTCACATTCTTCCCCCAATGGACAATTTCAGCTCCACATCCTGCCTTCTCTCCACCTGGCACACACTACGTGCTTTGACTGTTTGCAATTTCCCAAAATGTGCCACTGCTCTTTATTGTCTTCTTGTGTTACTGTGCTTACACACTTCTGTCTATAACACTCCTCCTGACCAACCCAAATGTCATCCACAGAAGGAAATGTAGCATGAGGTAAGTAACAAAATTTTGGGTTCCATCTAAAGTGGTATAACCCATTACGGCCGAATTGATTCTGACTCATAGCAACTCTATAGGACAGAATGGAACTACCCCATAGGGTTTCCAAGGAGCGGCTGGTGGATTCCAACGGCCAACCTTTGGGTTAGCAGCTGAGCTCTTAAGTACCAAACGGACTTCTTTATCAGAGAATGAAACAGGCGGACAGAATTAGAGCGAGCTGTCCCACCTTTCACTCAGTGATAACCACGGCAGAATACATCGCCAGTAACGATTTATAAAGTTTTCCATACTCTCCTAACTCTAGAGCTACGGTGACCCTGCATATACTCTCCCTCCTCACCACCCCTGCCAAGTAGTGCTCCTTCACCTGAGAAGACTTTTCTGATGTCTTAAGAAAATTCCCCTACTCTTAGCATAAGGATAGAGAGAGGGATTCAAGCTGAAGGACCCTCTGAGTTAAGACCTAAACAGCTAAACCATGAGCATATTTCTTAACAAGAAACAGGCTACTTCCTCATATAGGAAATCTGTATATTTATTTTTGTGCCCCATATTAAAACAAAACAAACACTCCACGTACTTAGCCACGCGCTGAGCCAAAATGTTCCTGCCCCTGGAAGGAGCAGGTATTTCTTTTAGATGTATGTTAAGTGACGAATGCATAAAACATGCAGTTTCCCAAAAGAAAGAACAGCCTTATTAAATGTGCTAATAAAATTCAGCCTCCACAAACACATGGCCCAGCCTTTGAATAGACGAGGGCTTATCTAATAATTGTCACATTTATAGCACCCTTACTCTGTGCCAGGCACTGTGCAAACCTTTGTATGGATTATGTCAGCTAAAGCTCATAACAAGCCTCTGAGGCAAGTCCTATTATCATTTCCATGTTTACAGATGAGAAAACAAAGATGGACAGAGGTTCACTTACTCAAGATCACACTGCTAAGAAAGGGTGGTGCCAGGATTTTAAGCCAGGCAGTCTGACTCAAAGCCAGTACTTTAAGGACTTTACCCTCATTCTTTCCAAGTTCTCAAAGGGTCTGATTATCTCTGACGTGAAAGAGGTCTCCCTCTCCCGTGAAGCCCTTGTTCATCCCTTTCTTAAGCGCAAGCTTGACTGTATTATTTCCCACAAACCTACTGCTACAACACGAATTTATCATCTTCCGGTTCTGGAGGACAGAAGTCCAACATCATTTCCACTGGGTTCAAATTAAGGTGTCAGCAGAGCTTCTGGAGGCCCTAGGGGAGAATCTGTCCCTTGCCTTGTTGAGTTTCTGGAGGCCGTCTGCACTCCGGGGCTCATGGCTACACCACTCCAACCTCTGCTCTGTAGTCCCATCTCCTCTGACTCTGACCCTCCTCCCTCCCTCTTAAAGGGACCTTTGCCTGTGTAGGACAAATAGTTAACGCGTTTGGCTGCTAACAGAAAGGTTGGCAGTGCCGGTCCACCCAGGGGTATCTCAGAAGAAAGGCCTGGAAATCTACTTCTAAAAAATCAGCCATTGAAAACAGTATAGAGCACAGTTCTATTCCGACACACAAGGGGTCTCTGTGAGTTAGAATCCACTCAACAGCAACTGGTTGGTTGGGTCAGGCTTTGAACCCGGCTTGTTCTGGTTTGAACCCCTGCTGAGCATTTGCATTTCTAACAATGCTAATGCTGCTGGTTAGGGACCAATTCTGAGAACCACTGGTAGAGCAGTGGTTCTCAAAATTTATTATACATTAAAAATCACCTGGGAATCTTGTTAAACGGTAGATTTTGACACAGTATATCTGGGAGTGATTACATCAGGCCTACTCAGATAATCCAGTATAATGTCCCCATCTCAAGATCCTAAGGAGCCCTGGTGGCACAGTGGTTAAAGCAACTGGCTTTTAACCAAAAGGTTGGCGGTTCGAACCCACCTGCCGCCCCGCAGGAGAAAGATGTAGCAGTCTGCTTCCATAAAGATTTATAGCCTTGGGAACCTATAGGGTTGCTGTGAGTCAGAACTGACTGGATGGTAACGAGTTTCTCAGATCCTAAACTTACTCACAGCTGCAAAGTCCTATTTGCCCTGTAAGGTGACACAGTCACAGGTTTCGTGGATTAGGACATGGGCATCTTTGGGGCCATTTTGCAGCCTACCACACTGTTGCTTACATTCTCCTTCCTTCTGTGGTGGCCAGGAACAAATGCTCATTCCCAGATGAACATGAGCTCAGCTGCACACACTCTGCTTGGTGACAAAAGCTAGCAGGAGCTCTGTCACACTGACTTGACATGAAATCCTGGAGCCTCCACCAGCAGGCAACGGAGTCTGGGAGAACAGGGTGAAAATGGCACCTCTGCTAGCAAACCAGCTGAGGGCATCTGGCCAGCACCCACCTGAATCCACACCACTGGCTAACTACATTCCTAAAGGCCTCCTCTGTCATATTTTCGCTTAATTTTTCTTTAACCATGCATAAAATAATAAGACTTGCCCACTATAAAGTAATGAGGGGGGAAAGAAAACAGATTAAAGTGATTAAGAATCTGAGTCAGAGATACACACAGCAGCACCAACTAATGAGCCTTTCTTCAATGTTGCCAGAGAACGTGTAACAAAAATAACTTATAATGCCCGTATTACTTCTTGGATTTCTCTAGTTCTACACCAAGGATGCTTCAAAGCGGTTTTATTATTAAGTACTTAAGCTTATTGACAAATATGGAGACTAAAGAACGCCAAAGTACTCACAACCCAGATTTTCTCAGTCACTTCTATTGTTAAAAATAAAACATCCAGGAACTGGATGGCCCAATAAGCAAGGTGCGCACGGGCCCAACTGGGCCTTCCCGCCAGTCTGCAGTGCACAACTTCTGCTGTCCCCCACCATGTCAAAGAGGTGGTGAAACCCTTGAGAAATTGCTCACCACAGATTGGCAAGTAAATACAATTAAGCCTGTACGCGAATATCTCGCTCAACGCAAGCCAGTGCATACCATGCTTACTGGTTAATCCGCCCCTGAAAACACCAGTTACATATAGTTTAAACCCCTTTGTTCTCACACTAGCCCCATCGCCTTATCTCCCACCCTAGGTGTGACCAATATCTGGGATTTGGATTTTTTTTTTAATCATTCAAAAAGTGATTTTTAAAAGACGAGAGAATAGTGTTTTTGTGATTGTCCTAAATATTTCATTCTGAAATCATGTTAATATCATTCATTGAGCAAAAAAATAGACTCTACAGGAAAAAGTAAACCTCAGTTCATGACATGAGCAATTTAACAAAACTTTCTATTCAGAAAGGATGGAAAATGTAGCTTCAGTATAAGCCTAAAAAAATAGATTAATTTTGCATGACTGCTAAGGGCTTGTTTTCCATGGCTTTGTCTCCTTAACATGACACCAGAGTGACGCTCATGTGTTTGCCAGACACCTCACGGTAACTTAACACTGTTTCTACCAACGTCAAGTGAGGCACTTACGGGGGAAAGAAAGCCCTTGGCAGGTCCCAGGGCCCCAGCACGCAGCAGTGCCCTGTTCAAGAAGTGCGCCTATGTCTACCAGTCTGATGTGCCCTCGGGGCTACAGACACACATCCCAAGCGTGCCTGTTCTGATCTATCACTTACGGCTTAATGCACACGGCCCACTGAGCAAAGGCCTGGAGGTGTTTTCATTGCAAAGGGATTTTTGTGTTGTAGTGTAATCTGACTTCAAGTCAAACCACCTCGCCTTAGAAAGCTACAAATGAGTTAGACTCTCTCTCCAATTAGGGAGGTACACGCAAAACAGTCTCTCAGGAACAGTGAGGAAAAAAACCTTCTCTGCCCTCTCCTGTAGACCACTTTCTAGAGCTGACAGTCTTCCCCATGACTGTCAATTTGAGTTTCCTACATTTTTCTGAGTCACAAGAGACTTACAGAGCCGGGGAACGGTGCAGGCTAGCGCCTGACTGGCCTCAGCCTTACTAGGTTTGGAGTATGTGGCCAGGT